ACACCGTTCTGACTGGTACGCCGATTGGTGAGACCTGTCCTTATGTTGCGAGTCTCCAGTCACATATGTCATTGGACATTGTTCCTACTGCATGTTGATGTATGTGAGTGCATGTACATAGCTCACGCATGGAGGGGAGGGGCAAGAGAGGAGAGCACGGCATTTCGTGCCAAGCCCAGGAACGATCTATCATAAACCCCGTGCATGTACATACAACGCTTACCAACGAGTCGGTGACAGGAATGGCTGGGTCCGGGGCAGAGCTCGCTCTCCCGGTTGCGGCCCTCTTCGTGTTAAGACGGAGGCTGGACCAGACCGCCTCGCGTGGCTTCCATTCACCGCTGGCGGTGGCATCGGTTATGATCACGAAGCCGAACACCAGGAAATTTCCGCCGTTTCACAAAAATCGAGGGACGGATGGATAATAAGAATGGGGCCTTCCCCAAAGCTCACGGCTGCAAGCTTTCCCTAAGGGTCACGGTGTGTGTTATGCAGCGCGCCGATGATGTCAGGGGTAACCTTGCATCCGATTCCGGGTGCGCCAAATCTTACCTAGAGGCGCATCGAAAGATGCGTTCTTGGATATAAAATGGAGTTGGGCGTAATAATGTCTCCTATAGCTGCAGTGTGACGACGAAGCTATTTAGCCGTGTCTCGGATCTCATACTTGAGCGACAACGGAACAGCCGGACCGCGAACAAAGGACACTGCCAGCAAAGGCCGCCGATAAGTCGAATGTTCCGTAGCATCACTTCATTTGGGGCCATAATGATTGAGTATTACGGCCGGGGTAGTTTACGAAAGCCACAATTAGAGGGTCTGACCAGGAAGTAGGTTGTTTAGAGGTAGGGACTAGGTGGTGGCGGATGGCGAGCCGGCCTGTGCGGATGTATGCGTTGGCGATGATCAAACCACCAATCCTTTGGGCCAGGACATACATATCTGGGTACTCTCCTTGCTTCGACACGCTAAACACCGTACCCGTAGCCCTGCGCCGCGCGTGAAGGCGATAACGCGCGTGTAGGTACCCGCAATGAAGGTCGAGACGATCAGACGGGCTGAGCCTTTACTCGATACGTACATAGCACATGGGCAGAGATGAAGGAGGCGATCAGACAGTCTTGCCCAGAATTGCAGGTCGGTGGTACTGGGTCGCCACTGGTAAAGGCATCCACCCAGCCGTCCATTCACAGATAACGAAGAATGGGCATGCCAAGCTGATGAAAGACGTGGAGTGGGCATGCGGACGACTCTCAGATACCTGTCCAGCTGATCCGCTTCGGTTCAAGCCCCTCCCCCTCCCTCCCCGTCCAATACCGTGGGACTTTGGTGCTGTCTTTCCACTCCCAGAATCTCGCCGATTCCACCACCCCGGAGCTCGTCAGGCTCTCGCGCACACTCACCTCGTCAGCCACCGACGATGAGCAAGCGAGCGAGACCGGGGAGACGCGGGTGAGCGGTTTGGGTGCGCTTGGCTCACTTCTAGCGCCAGTGGGTGCCTAACAGGCCTGTGTGTTTGACAAGACAACCATCGTGACCTTCATGCAGGGCATCGAGAGACTGGGAGACTACGGGGGATTCGCAGTAGTCTTGCCTTGTCGCCGACTGTCTGAGTTACCCAGTCGTGGGTACTTGCCAGCCCCGCCAATTTTCATAGGGTGTCGCAGGTACCACTTGTCAGTCCAGTCACAACCCGGCCATGCGCAAGCGCCTAACGGGGGAGGAGACTGGCTACCAGCGTCCAATCGGGAGCTGAGGCAGAGTGGGATGGTCTCTCTGGGCCTCAATAGCAGGAGGCAGAGGCAGCAGCAGGGAGCGGGAGGAGGCAGGCCGTCACTCCACCGTGGGCAGCGAGGCGGTACGTACCCGCTGGCTACAGGCAGTCCTGCTGCCCTGTACGGCGGGTTGCCTCAGTGGCTGGAACGGTGACGACGACCTCGGCGTGTCGCCTGGGACTGGGACTGGGACTGGGAGGGAGGGTGTGCGGTGCGGTGCGTCTGCGGGTGCGGTGCGCATGCCTGAATGTTTGAGGATCGAGCCAGACTCCCAGGACCTTCTGCAGCGTGTGATAGCTGAGGTGATTGGGCTGCGATTCACAGGTCAACACATAGTGATAGGTAAGTATGCATTTGACTAGCCCCCAAGTGCCTGTTTCTACTTATAAGACCAATTCAGGCCGCATCCTGCCAACAAGGAAAGAATACTAAAGATGGCCAAGGCCGCACCTTCCCACGCTTCCCTTTGACTGCACTGCTGATATTTGAGAACCGAGATACCCGATTCTCTCGTCTTCTGGTCACCTCCCTGTTCCTACTACTACCACGACTGAGTGCTGTCCCTGCTACTTGGCTCCATCCTTCCCACCTCCTACTTTCTTGACCGACAAAATACATATGATCCCTAATTGACCCCGGCTACAATCAGCTAGCTCGCTAGCGAAAGGGAAAAAAGGGTCAGCCCATCGCATTATCACTGATCAGTTCACTGTGGGTTCCCTCAGCAGGGACATAACCCTGCTCCCCTTCTGCTGGCGGGGACTGTGAAGTTATACTAAACAGCACTAGCAGCAGATCTCTGTGGACTACCAGCCGGTTTTCTCACCGTCACTCTGGCTCGCTTTGCCCCAACCGTCCTCGCTGGGGGGAAGCTTTGCAGCGCGCGCCGTTTCGCAGAGTTATTTTTGTTCTAGACGCTGCAGGCCGGCTTGTCACATTTATATCTACCTACTTGGACTGTTTCTCAGCGCCGATCGGTTCGCCGCTGAGCTGAGTAGCAAGCAAGATGCCTCTCGAACAGACTGTCACCATTCTGAACAACTCGGGCAAGATTATTGGCACGGTACGGCCCCGCTCATTGTTCACCACCTCCCTTTGTGCCCCTCCATATATCTGACCAACCTGTGTCGCAGGGTAAAACTCTCCTCTCAGTCTTCAAGGAAGCGCAAGAAGCCTACAAGGACAAGAGGTCGCAGCTCAAATCGGACCGGGCGCTCACCCGAGCGGCAACCTTTGACCAAAACGTCAACCAAAGCACCCGAAGCCTTCACCGCCACCACCATCACCATGACTATGCCGAGGAGGACGACGACCACCACTACAGATACCACGAGGAACGCAGCCACCGAGGCCATGACGCACCAAGCGAGGCAAGTTCTAGGAGAACTAGCCGCCGATCGAGGAGCGTAGTCTCCAAGCGCCAACACCGCCATGAAGACGAGGAGAGCCAGTATGGCGGTAGCACCACAAGCCGAGGGTCAGCTCTGACTGAGAGAAACCTCAAGGCTATGACCCAGGTCTCTGCCGCGGCACCCAGCAGACCACCTCCCTCGACCTACCGCCGGCCCTACGCCGAGACCATGGCATTGTCCAAGATGGATGTGACGAACGCGCAGATGCGCGACCTCGCAGTATCGGAACGCAGGCCACCACCGACTGCCCTAACTCGACGGGCATCATATTCAGAGGTCGGTGGCCATAGGCCGTATGATCAAGACCGCCAGTTGATCCGAGCTCCCGCCAAGGAGATTGACATGAACCTCGCTTATGGTGAGCTCCCACCTGACCTGAAGGAACGTTATGATCTCGACCCGGTCTATGGAGATGAGTATCAAGCAAAGGCATTGACCAAGAGGGTCGAGGGCCTTCTGGACGAAGCCAACTGCCTAAAGTACTCAGCTGGAAAAACCATCGCCCACCTGCAGACGAACCCAGATGCAGCTGCGGCGGTGGCATGCACGCTTGCCGAGCTTTCCAAGGTTGTTACCAAGGCTTCCCCGGCCGTTCTCGCCATGCTCAAGGGCGGATCCCCCGCCGTCTGGGGTTTATTGGCCTCACCGCAGTTCATGATTGGCACCGGCGCCGTCGTGGGCTTGACCGTCATTGTATTTGGTGGCTGGAAGATCGTGAAGAAGGTGAAGGAGCAAGCTGCCGCCAGGGAGGCGATGGCATACGAGGGCGTGCCAATGAATCGCCCTGCGCCTATGAGGACGCAGAGTGAATACAGTTTCGGTGTAGACGAAGCTCTGGTTGTAGATGACGAGCTTAGCACTATCGAGACGTGGAGGCGGGGTATTCCTGCTTGCGGCGATGACGAGAGCGCCGATCTGGAGTTGATTACTCCGATAGCCGACCGTGCGACGAAGATGATGAAGGACGATGACTTCGATGTCCGGTCCCGACGAAGTACACGAACTACCCAGACCACCAAGACCGCCAAGACAAGCAAGACAAGCAAGAGCTCAAGGTCGAGGCGCGAGGATGACTCGGACCGCAGAAGCACTAGGCATCACACAGCCGAAAGTGTCGCTGGCAGCGAGCGGAGCAGGAAGACGTCCAGTAGCAGAAGAGAACGATCTACTCCCAAGCTCATTGAGGATGGGCGCAGCCAAAGAGGCGACGACGATCTTGATTTCCGGCCCAAGATCCACAGACAAGGCAGCAATATGCTCAAAGCCTTATTCAAGGATAAGAACAGAAGCGAGGTCCGCGTATAATATGGCCATCAACGTGGCGCTCAATCATGTCATCTGTACTTTGCGTTTTGGTCATTTCCAGCTCTCAGCCTCCAATGTTTCGCACTTGTTTTCGCACTCTGGCCTTAACAATACCTTCTTGGCTTACATATATTCTGCATCGAGACTTTTATCTCACCGGGGCTTTTATCATACAGAAATTAGGAAAGGGATCTACAGATGGATGGTTACTGGATATATTTTCCTCCATCTTTCTTGCATTATTGGCGTTTCGACCCTGGTTGGGTCATGACAGTTTAGAAGAGAAGAAGATTTACATTGAACTTACAGGAGTATCTCAGTTTATTCTCTTCACAATCATGTTCAAACTTTGATGAGATTTTTTCTACAATCACTAGATAGCAGCAAAGTTTAAATACAAGCGCTTGACTTCTATTAGGCCAGTTTCGTGATGGCCGTCTTAACATTTGGACACGCTCGCAAATGATGTGATGTTAGATGAGGTGAATGCAATGCATGTCGGGGCCGGTTACAGCTCCCCTCGCAAACTCTCAACAGGCTCGACCGAAACAACCACTGTCTCCTTCATGCACCCTCCTCGGTAGGCATACGTAAACGTCCACCCGCTGGCAGCGCCGCCGTGGTTCCCGTCCTTGTCGACGACGACGATGCCGCTCGACACCTCAGGGTACTTGCTCACCATGCGCCGCACGGCATCCTCGGCCGCCTCCTGGGGCGCCATGCCCCGCCGCAGGTTCTCGACGGCCTGGTAGCAGGGCAGGAAGCGCATCATGATGTCACCGTCCCCCGTGGCGCCGCAGCCGCCCACGTCGCCGTCGACGTACGAGCCGGAGCCGGTGATGGGCCCGTCGCCGACGCGGCCGGGGACCTTGTGCGAGGCGCCGTTGGTGGAGGTGCCCGCCGCCATGGAGCCGTCCTGGTGGATGGCGATGAGGGAGATGGTGTCGTGGGAGGCCTGCCGGGTGTCGAGGCGAGCTGCGAGCTGTCTCAGGGGCGCGTACGGCCCGCAGGAGGCCGAGGGGTCCGGGGAGACGTTGACGCGGTAATTGGGCTGGCAGCTGGCGGCGCGCCAGGAGGTGCACTTGTCCAGGGAGGCCGGGGTGGTGAGGTCCTCCTCGGCGAAGCCGTTCTGGACGGCGAAGGCGGTGGCCAGGTCGCCGGCGAGGAGGGAGTGGGTGGTATGCTCGAGGACGGCCCTGGCGACGGAGGCGGCGTGCTTGACGCGGCGGAGGGCGGCGACGGCGCCCGACTTCATGGTGGTGCCGTCCATGATCATGGCGTCGAGGGTGGTCTCGCAGTTCTCGTCGGGCGAGCCGCCGAAACCGACGCTGCCGTCGCACTGGTTGTCCTCGCAGGTGGTGCAGCCGATCTCGACGGCGTCCAGGGCGCTGGTCGAGCCGTTTGACCTGTACAGAGCGAGGAAGGCCGCGTCCGTGGCGGCGGTGAAGGGCCCGCCCCAGGTGTTGATGACGAAGGGGAGGACCTTGGAGGAGGATGGGGCCGCGACCACGAGGGCTGTGTGCGCCAATGCGAGGGGGAGGAGCTTCTGGATGATCATTGTGGGCGGCGGGATGGTTTTTCTTATTGAATTGGTCTCCTTTGGCGATGGAAGCAACGCGGGGGAGAGGACGCAACAGACTTGGGCTCTCGCTCATAAGCACCAGCGGCTAGTGAGGGGAATGGAGATGGCCCATGCAATTGTCTTGCTTGATGATCACCGCTACCTTCCTATCCAGGGACCACGCAGCTGGGACGATAGAGCCCATGATCAGTCTGATTGGGCCCGAGGGGAGAGGTATATTTTGCCGGATAAGAGAGCAAGTCTGTCATTTCGAGGCGGACAAGAGCGGAGTTGTTGGTTTTAGTTGAGAGGATCGCATTCGCCTATAGTTGGACAGTGAGGGGTCATTCCCAGTATGTAATATTGCTGTGCCTCAGCCAGAACGCGGCTGAGGTTGAGGGTAACCGTTTTGCTTCCAGACTCAGACTCAGATTGTTCTGTCTGCAAGGCATACTAGATCGCTTGTTAATCATAATTGCATTTCCATGGCTTCGAATTTTCCGGTGACCATTTGTGGTAGATTAACCTCGCTTCGAGATCAATCTTCGACGTCATCTCCTTCTTCACGTCACATTCCACCACCCAAATGCCGCCCCAGACTGTCAGCCCTACTAAATAAAGGCGCTCGGACGATACAGAAATCCATTAAATGCAGGGCGCTTACGCTCTAATGCAGCCCGCTTATGGCTGGCAAAACCCAAGTTTATTACCACGTCCGTAAACTCCAAACGCCAAGAGCCTCCTCGGACTTAAGCTTACACTCGCCGGTGCCTCAACCAAGAGGAAAACTATATAAATAAAGGTAAATAATCAGACAAAATGAAGATGAAATACGATCATCTGCATCAATTGACTACTCTTGACTGTTCCTCCTTCAAAAAAAAAAAAGTCTAATCTACCTACTTCATCACCAGATCCATCACCAACTCCCCGCTTACACGGCTTACACGCTTACAAGACATCACCATGACCACCCCAGTCTGGTTCATCACCGCCGCCTCCTCCGGCTTCGGCCGTGAGATCGCCCTCCAAGCCCTCCAGCGCGGCCACACCGTCGTCGCCACCGCCCGCAACGCAGACCGCATCACACACCTCCGCGACGCCGGCGCCCACACCCTCTCCCTCGACGTCACCGCCGACCCGGCCGCCCTCAAGGCCGTGGCCGACGACGTGTTCGCCCGCTTCGGCCGCGTCGACTACCTCATCAACGCCGCGGGCTACATCCTCGACGCGGCCGTCGAGGAGGCCACCCCCAAGGAGATCTTCGACGCCTTCAACACAAACGTCTTCGGCGCCGTCGCCACCATCAAGGCCTTCCTCCCCCACCTGCGCGCCCAGCCGCCCCTCGACCCGAGCACGGGGACCAGGGCCACCCTCGTCGCCTTCGGCAGCCTGGGCAGCTGGACCGGCGGCCCCACCTACGCCATCTACGCCATGACCAAGTGGTCCTGCTCCGCGCTCATGGAGTCCCTCGCCGCCGAGGTCGCCAGCTACGGCATCCGCGCCACCGTCGTCGAGCCGGGCTACTTCCGCACCGGCTTCCTCAACCCGGGCGCCAAGGTCACCTCCCAGGAGCGCCTGCCCGCCTACGAGGACCCGTCGTCGGCCGCCGGCCAGGTCCGCGCCGCACTGCTGACCACGGACGGCAACCAGCCCGGCGACGTCGTCAAGGGCGGCAAGACCATCGTGGACATCCTGACCGGGACCGGTGTCGCCGAGGGCAAGAAGCTGCCCGTGAGGATCGTCCTTGGGACGGACTGCGAGGAGACTATCCGCGGCAAGATCAAGCAGACCGAGGGTATCTTGGAAGAGTGGAAGGATGTCATCCGCACCACTGACTATTAGTGCGTGAACACGAACGGGTAGTCGGGGGCATGTGTATGAAAGAAAAAGGGAGGAAAACTTACCTAATGTTAGCAAATACGAACGGATATTGAGAAAACAATAAAGCGTGCCTTTCGAGTGTGTATTAACCAGTTTTGATAATTCATAATATAACTCTTCTGTATATCCACAGTTCGGAACCGTCACACCATATGTTTATGACCACCAATAACCTGCTGAAGAAGCAAACATACAAAGACTCCATGCGTCAATTTCGTACAGGACTGTGTTCGTGGCTATGTCGCCTTTTTTTTGTTGAAAATGTGATTTATACAAAAACATAACTTAGTATTTTCGTTCGTTTCACGCATGTGTTTGCGCCCTTCTCAAGGGGTGTCCCTCCGTATTAAACACCCAGTCGTCCAGGCTGACGAGGCTCGACTCGGAGAAGATCAGGTAAAAGTACTTGAGCGTCTCTGCCGTCCAATAGCTGTCCATGGAGTCCAGCTTGCCCGCCACGTCCTTGTCGGTCTCACTGTCCTTGTCGGTGGTCTTGCCCTCCTTCTTTTCCTCCTCCAGCTCCTGGGGGGTCTTCTCCTCCTTGGGGTTGACATCGCGCACTGCGCTGTTTGCCAGCTTAGTCCTGGTCAGCTTGTCGATGGCCTGCCACATATCCCAGGCCACGTCCCGCCAGTGCGAGTTGCCGGTGGTGCGGAACAGGATGAAGACACTCTCGATGGCCTCAGGGCGGAGGAGGTAGCGAGGGTCCGTAATGCGCGTGATGCCCTTGGGAAGACGCTCTTCCAGGATGGTCTTCTTCACGTCTCTGCTGGACGTCTGCTTAATAATACCCTCGTGCCACTTGGAGTCATCCCAGAGACAGGGCTCCAGAGAAGGGCAGGACCTGAAGTAGAGCGACTCGGGCATCACGCCCGAGGTCATGGTCTGGTAGGCCCAGGCGCACCCGGTAGTAAGCTTGGCACCGGTAGCGACTTGGGACTCGTTCGCCAGCAAGCGTCCGCCAAGGGCGAACATACCACCCGCATAGCATGCCGTATGGGAGGCGGTAGTGTCGAGCCTAATCTCTGGGGAACCGTCCTTCTTGTTCTTGACCGACTGGGCAGATCCCGAGAAGAGAATATCGTCACCGTTGGGAGTCATGGGCCGGTAGATGAGGTGATTCATAATGGCCTCCACACTCTTACCATACATATCGCCGTAGACGCCCTGGGTGTTGCCCAGCAAAGCAGTCATCTTGATCAGGTACTCGTACATGCTGTCGGACGTGGCACCAAGAGAGTAATCCTTGGCGATGTCCACCTTACCCTCAGCAGGCGAGGTGCCGTGAACCCACAGACCCGGGATCTTGGAGGTCATCTGCCCCTCAGCAAACATGTCGGTGATGCGCTGGATAGCGTCGTAGTATTTGGGGTCATTGGTCAAGAGGCTCAGTCGGGTGAACTCCAGGAACAGAGAGCCCAGCTCGGAAAGAAGGATGAAGTTGGAATCGTCCTGCTTCGTGCCCTGGGCGGCGGCCTTCAGGTTCCAGCGGGCGATGGGCAAGTGCTTGGGGGTGTCGAAGGCCTTGTACAACATGTCGCCAACATCGCGGGCCTTCTTGATCAGACGTGGGTCGGCACTGAGGTCGTAGGCAGAGAGGAGTCCGCCGAGGAATCGGATATTGGTCTCGAAGATGTTGACCTCCTTCAGGTTGGTGCTCTCGAAGGTGATCTCGCGATCGATGGCGTCAACGGCCTGCTGAAACTCGTCGACGAAACCCATGATCCAAAGAGTGTCGAGGGAGTCAACCAGGGTGACACCCCATCCGCCGAATGTATCCCTTTGCTTGCCGGTGACAGGCGTGACCTCATCGCGCAACCACGCATGGTGCTTGTATGTCGACCAGGCACTGACAAATGCATCCTTGATGGCGTTTCGACGGCTCTCCTGGCTGGATCCACCGGTATAGAACTTGGCCTGGACACGAGGCAAGGGAGCGGTTGGCGGTTCGGGGAGCGGTCGGTAGGACTCGACGGGGTTGTGGTATTCAACTTTGCGCCAGACATAGGTCATGTCTGGGTCTGGTATCGGGACGGGGGCGAGGGGCTTCGGTAGGCCATGGGACCCAGAGCTAAAGTTGAAGTTTAGGAGGGAGCTGTGAAATACGTAGAAGGTGGTGACGATGGCGAGGGCCACCACCAACCATCTCGTCCTCCCTAACGCCATAATGGAAGCCCGCTATGGCTTGCGGCGGACAAGGGGTTGAGGACGGCGACAGGCCACGCAGCGGAATGGAAGACGTGTGTCGAGATTAGACTGGTAGGAGGGAGAATGGGAATATATAAGGGGAGGAGACGCAATTGGAAACGGCAGATATAAGAGAAAATATGATAAAAAGAAGGAATGACGATGGAGGCGGAGGGGATGCGTCGAGGACCAGGTCTACCTCACTCAGGATGCCAGGCCTATGAAGGGGTCAAGCACTGCCAGCGATGATGTTTTCCCCTTGTACCCAGAATTATTCCGCTGTGCCAAGTCCCAACTGGCCAATGCCGCGCTAGACTTAGAGGGGCGGGTGGGGGGGGGCCGTCGAGCGCTGCGGCTGCTCTTAATCAGGGGCCTGGTTCTGCCAGACGTGTGTCAAGTGTGTATGGACGAGGTCGCATTGCCAGGATTCTGCTGTAGGCGAGGTAAGGCAGTTCTTGCTCGGGTGCCTGTTCGTGCTCTTGTTCTACGGCCAGCTGCGAGGAGCTGTTACGCGATGCAGCCAACAATCACATTGAAATCCCACAGGCGTGAAGCCGCGTGGCAGGATCTTTCTAGGGGTCTTTAATAGGGGGCCCCTGCTAGCGAGACGTCGGTAACAATGACCTCACCTAGCAGTTTAACGACGCACTCAAGTGGGTGACAGGAGAAATGAGACACCAAATGGAAGAGATGGTTATAAACAGACTACTTTCTACAATCAACAGAGAGCTTCAGTTGTATAAAATGAAATCAAGTAATAATATCCGGTATATTATCCCTGTGGTATGTATTATTAGCACTTAATAATCTGATAATACCGATCGCAGACTTGACAATAAGCAGCTTAATGTTTGAGTGTCTCAATTTCAATGTCACCCACTTGGCACTTATCGATTACGGACTCTGCGTTTCTATGGAGAGAGAGTCTTCGTATTATTCTGGCTGGCTGATAGGGCAGTACGCTGCAGGCTATTTCTAAATAGTCTAGGATCTACGTATTCTCGTTCTCTCCATCTGCGATTTGTTTCCGCACTTGCATGCGCAGTCGCGTGCCTCCGTAATTACATGTACTCTTCTCTGTTACTATCCGACAGCCCGCCGGCAGGTACATTAGGTCGCAGCAACTGCGTTTCCGTCCTTTGCATTGCCTGTAGGGCTGTAGGGCAGGATTTCAATTGCAATTGATAGGTATTGACTTGATCCTCGACCGCTGGGATACCTCACTTCCTCGCTAGACGACACCGATTTTTTCTTCCCTCTCATGCATGTACCTTTGCATCTCCAATACCAGACACTCATCCTCTCCTTTCCTTTTCTCGTAGCCAATTTTCAGAAATCAAGTCAAAGCTGTTGCCATGGGATAAAAAACCTCTTGGCCCCATCAGCCTAGCTGTCTAGCCCTCGCCATCAGCCGCGCTATCTCATGCGCCCTGGCCCCTATCTCGCTCCATCTGGCCTGCTTCCTCATCGGCACGTACTCGCCGTTCAGCAGCCGGTAGTTGCAGGTGTCGCACATCCGCTGCTGGTGGAATCTCCACTTCTCGCTGACGCGCTGCATCCAGAAACACGGGTCCAGCTCGTCGTCGGCGAGCTTGCGCTGGCATCGCGATCGCAGATCGACCTGCATGCAGCCACAGTCGAATGTGTAAGTGTTCCAGTTGCACATGGCTGAAATCTTGCCCTGTTGCGTTTTGCTGCCTTTGTTTTTTCGAATCGGTCCTTTCGTTCTTTTTTGGGAAACCCCGTTCTCTCTCCAGGTCCCTTTCTGGGTACTGGCTGTCCTAGGCTGGAATATGTCAGTGTCAGTGGACGTGTGCCGTAAGGGTGTAGTAGGTATCTTTACTTGGTACCTTTCTTATAGTGATGGTCTTGGTTGAGACTGGTCTATTCAGAGCAAAGAGGTGGGATGGACTCATCTGATATTGGGCAGCCTGGGGGAGAAGGGCCAGCTCAACTTCAAATAGGGCCTCTGCTCCCACATAAAGAGAGCCGTGGCTTTCTCATGCCATCGATAGCGTCCCGCTCACGGATGCAAGTATGCCTGTTGCCTGCCCTAATGCCCGTCGAGATTCTTGTGTCACGGCAACAATGCTTAAACGCATCCACTGGTACAGACCTTACACACTGGCATCCCCTGTCTATTCGCTGGCTGTCTTTCTTTTCTTTTTCACACGGGAATTTAAGATTACTCTGGTTTTCGTTCACATATCTCGCCAGATTTGTTTGCGTGGCAACCCTCGAGTTCGTCCTTGAGTGACTGACCCCCAGCCTATCCGGGAGAGGAGACTCGGGCTCCCCTACGACGGAGAGAAGACAAGAGGAGAGAGAGAACTGTATAACCATGCTGGAGAAGTCATTGGGCACTCCATGTCTCACAGCTTTGTTCCACTCACACCCATCTTCTGTTTTATTTAGTCTTATCCAGCCGACCTCCGAGCCGCCGGGTGTCACCGTGTCACTGATTGCATTGCCATTGGCACATCGCCACCAGCCCAGGAGCTGGCGAACCGGTATAGATGCCTGATTGTATGATAGACCAGCCTGGACGCGTGCCCGCAGACGGTCTCGGGCAGCCAACAGCCCTGCAACATGGGTCAGGAATTACGCTTGGGTTCAGGTTTGACAACCCAGAAAACCTGAAGCCCCTCAATAATCAAAGCGAAAACTCACCTACCCTTGCCCATTTACTGCCCAATGTCGTATTTTTCAATCATCATCTCGCCCTCTCTGTCGATGTACGTACCGTCTGTTTTCCCTCTGGGTGGTGGAAGCAGGAGAATATAACCACCTTGACCCTGTGCCACCTTGCTTTATAAAGCATTCATCCCGACGGGTTTTTCATTATCTTGGCGTTAATTATATCCCCTTGCAATCTTCTTGGAGGATAAATCAAACCGTCCCGTCTCTTAAAATCCAGACCCTCGGTCGTCGTTTCGCATCTCAGTTCCCCCAAACACATCCCTGCCCAGCTCCATGACCCCCTTCCACCAATCGGGTCAGAAATCCCACGAAACACAAGGACCCCGAAACAAGCCAAATGCATTTACCCGCAATACCAAGACTGGGTTCCTTCCAGATTGGTAAAAACCACGGAGCTTCAACTCGAACGCATTCTTTGGGAACCTTGTCGAGGCTGGCATATATAAGAGAGCCGGGTCCAGCTATGGCGGCGACGGGAACCCCCTTGCCAGGTCCTCAGTCACCACCCGAGACTCTTGTGAGACCACCCGATCCACGATGAAACTGTCGCTACCCATCTTCGCGCTCCTGCTCAACGCTGTTGCCGGCCAGCAGCTTGCCTTCCCCGGCGCCGAGGGTCTCGGCCGCTATGCAAAGGGCGGGCGCGCAGGTTCGGTCTACAAGGTGACGAATCTCAAGTAAGAAACTTTCCACATTCCGGATGAACGGTGCTTGCGTAGCCCGGGTGGTTATAGATGGCTGAGAAAAGAAAACTTGTTCAGTGATTCCGGAACGGGGTCGCTTCGTGATGCCGTGTCGCAGTCCAACCGCATCGTCGTCTTCACGGTTGGAGGCGTCATCAACATCTCCTCTCGGATTGTCGTCAAGTCCGGCGTCTATATCGCCGGCCAGACTGCGCCCGGAGGTGTAAGTTTTCTCCTTTCCCCTTTCTTGATCTCTCCAGCTTTGAAACTCACAGATTCTCAGGGTATCACCGTCTACGGCGATGGCTGGTCTTGGTCCGATGCCAACGACTCCATCGTCCGCTACATCCGCATCCGCATGGGCAAGGGCGGCACCTCGGGCAAGGACGCCATCACCATCGCCTCGGGCGCCCGCATGATTTTCGATCATGTCAGCGTCTCGTGGGGCCGTGACGAGACCTTCTCCATCAACGGTGATGCCGAGGACATAACCATCCAGAACTCCATCATCGCACAGGGTCTCGAGACGCACTCCTGCGGCGGCCTCATGCAGACCGATGGCGGCATCAGTCTCTTCAGAAACCTCTACATTGATAATAAGACCAGGAACCCCAAGGTCAAGGGTGTCAATGACTTTCAGAACAACGTAAGCATCCCCCCTTCCTTCTGCAGCCACGACAATACACAGGAACGAATAAGACTAACATTGGATCCAGGTCATTTACAACTGGGGTGGCGGCGGTGGCTATATCGCCGGCGACAGCGACGGCCAAAGCTACGCCAACATCATCAACAACTACTTCATCTCCGGCCCTTCAACCTCTGTCACTGCCTTCACCCGCGGCAACGCCAACTTCCACGCCTGTAAGCAATCCTTCTTACCCTCCCGCCAGTCAGTAAAAACAGACTAACATTACAAAAAATCTAGACGTCAAGGATAACTTCTACGACTCCGACAGAGACGGCGTCCTCGACGGCTCCGCCCTCTGCGAGAAGGACACGTGCTACTCCAGCATCGACTTCCAGGCCTCCAAGTACGACTACCCGGCCCCCGCGAAGCTCTACACCGCCACCGAGGCCGTCCCCGTCGTCCTCGGCGCCGCCGGCACCACCTTCCCCTCCCGCGACGCCGTCGACGCCGCCCTCGTCGAGCAGGTCCGCTCGTACGGCACCAAGGGCGCCCTCATCTCCGACGAGGCCTCCATGGGCGGGCCGGGCACCATCGCCGGCGGCACGTCCCCCACCGACACGGACGGGGACGGCATCCCCGACGCGTGGGAGTCGGCCAACGGGCTCAACCCCAACGACAAGTCGGACGGCATGGCCATTGCGTCCAACGGGTACACGAACCTGGAGAACTATGTCAATTCTCTGGTGTCTTAGGCTTTCTTTTTCTGCTGTGTTTCATTGTGGATCATCTGTTTGGGAGTGTACATAGATGAAGATGGGGAACGAATGAACATGATTCCAGAACAAGAAGTGACTCAGAGGTATCTATAGGGTATTATACTGACCCCTTGCCTCTGGACACTGATTTAAACTACTGAACTATCCTGTGTGTATTGTCCAAAACAATCATCCAATATTAAAACGCTCAGAGCGACCGAATGCATCAACGTAAGTGATGGGGGATAAGAGAGTAAACCAATTTTTCCAACAGAAATATAATCATCATGCTTCCTGGACGCCTTGCTTTCCCGTCACATCGAGCTCATTACGCCACCCGCTGGGGCAGCTTGGAACCACCGTTTTCTTTTGGCTTCTCCGCCTCTTTTTCCAACTCCTTCTCCTTTTCCGGTTCTTCGACGATGAGCGAGACGAACCGCTTCGCCTTCTGGGAGAGAGGTTCCTTATCCGAGTCTGACCCCGTGCTCTTTTCGGGGGACAGCTGCCCGGTCGTCCTCTTCTGCTCAATGTGCTTCATCGCGTCTTCCGTCAGCTCCTGGCGGTTCATGAGCTTCCAGACCTCCTTCTTCCGCGTCTTGCGGTCTCCGATGGTGATGATGAGGCCCGCGGTGATGTTGCAGGTTATGCTGACACAGAGAATCACCGTGGTGAGGGCCATCGGTCTGACATGGTAGTCTATGCCCCAAGTACAGGCACCCAGCGAGATCTGCAAACACGAGTGGCAGTCGAGAAGAATGACGATGGCAATGAGATAGTCGATTGGGAAGGCGTAGTGAGTGTTCGTCTCGTTGGGTTTGTAGAAACTGTGGGACTTGGCCAGCTTTGTCTGGTGGTGATACAACTTTTGCTGCTGAGCATACGTCAACGGCGTATCTTCGTACACCTCAATCCCTGACCTGGCATCCTCGACGTCAACGTCAACAATGTTGTTTCTCCGTGTATGGTGAGGATCCTGCTCGCTCTTGCTATCCGAGTCTCGTGAATCGACAGTCTCAGGGCTCGTCACATCCGGAAGCTGGGCTGTAGGGGAATCGGGTGCTGCATCCTGAGGCTGCTGCTCAGGCTCACTCTTCTGCCACCACCACTTGCGTTTGGGTTTAGGTTGACCTTTTGTCTGCGCTTTCTTGACGATGCGCGCGTAATGGACAATATAGATCATGTGGTAAGTATCAATAGCTCTGAATGGAGCCAGTCCGTCACCCATGACGGCAAAAAGTGCGACAAGTACGCTGTCAATCACATGGATGACATACAATTGCTTGTCACCAACGTAGATCCACCCGATCAGGAACAGCACCCAGGCCAGACCAAAGAGGGTGATGAGTGTCGCGTACAGGGTGACCAAGAAACCGAGCGGGCGTCTTACGTACTGGCCAAAACCCTTCATAGAACGCTTGAATCTCGATCTCCGTGAGTGAAGCATATGGCGGACATGATCGTCCAGTTCCCACTTCTCGTCCTCTGTCCATCCTTCTAAGCTGGCGCCGTGTGGGAGAGCGGCGTAATGTGAATCCGTTAGTCGTGATGAGATGGTGTTTGAACGGTCCAATTGAGGAGGCACTTGGTCTTCTGCCATGTCAGTACGCTCAACCCTTTCCCCTGGAAGTATCCCAGGCGGTTCCGAGGCGGTTACAGGTCTTGGCAGTCGTGGTTCAATGTCATGTTGGGATAGGTTGTAAGTTGGCCGGCGATTGACCCAGCTGCCAAGATCGGGAATGAAGAGTGAATTCTGGACGTTTGTGAGTGTGGAGAGGGTCTGGATCTCCGGGTCTTGAAACATGTTAGCCATTTAGTCCCAAGAAAATATAGCGAACAAAGGATATTGCAGATAAGCTAGGGGAGTATTTACCAATTGTGTCAAGGTAGTCAACCAACAATTCATCATACTCATCATCAACACGGCTACCACGATGACCACGACGCGATGGGGGCGGTACCGCGTTGGCTGCTTCCACGTCCGATGCTTCTTGCCCATCCTGGTGCTTGCCAGGCTTGAAGAGGCGACTGACCGCACGCATGCGTCTCAACATCGGGCCCTGGGTAGACGCCTCTGGTGCCGTCCTCTGACGGCCCAAAGTCTCCTCTGGTAATGAGTGAACCGGCGACAGAGGCTCGTCCTGAAGACC